AATAATCTTTATTCTTGGTGCTTGTTGTTTGAATGATAATGTGTCATGGAGTAGTTCTATTTTGGTCAAGTCTGTTTGGTGTCCTGGAGGCTTACTGTACCTGAATTGGCATAGTTTTCTCTAGATTTTGGAATTTTTCTGTTATTATTTTGTTGATTATATTATGAATTTCTCTTGCTTGCACCTCTTCTCCTTCTTCAATGCCAGTGATTCTCAGGTTTGGTCTTTTGATGGAGTTTGGTGAGTTCTTGCATATTCCTTTCACATGACTTGAGTTGTCTGATTGATAGTTCTTCAGTTTTTCCTTTAATTACCATTTCATCTTCACGTTCTGAGATTCTGTCTTCTGCTTGTTCTAGTGTACTGGAGTGGCCTTCCATTTTGTTTTGTATTTCTATTTCATTCTTTTTTCTAAGGTTTTCCATGTCATGGGTCACTTCCTCTTTAATATTGTCAATTCTCATCCTTAATTCACTTATCTCTTTATTTATGGTGTTTTCTGTTTCACTTTGGTGTATATTTAGGGGTCCTATGAGTTCATTTATTTGTTTTTGGGTTATCTCATTCTTTATTCTTATTGTCTTGGAATTTCTTGAGTGCATCCTGAAAATTTTGGTTGATCATGTCTAGTAACACCTCTGAAATTCTCCTTGAATACCTGCAGAATTTCTTTTTTCAGGGTGTTCTTTTGGGCTTTGTTAGGCTCCTTGGTATAGTTTATCTTTGTTTTGTTGGAGTTTGGATCTGGGTATCCATTTTCTTCATTTCTCTTGAATCCTGTACTAATTTATTTTTGGGGGGAGAATGGTTTCCATCCCTTTTTTATCTCCACATCACTCCACTTTGTACAGTTTCTGTCCCTGGTCTATGTGTAATTTAGTATTAGGTAACTTACAATAGTAAAATTAATAAAACCAAGAAAGAATGAGAAAAAAGAAGAAGAAAAAGAAAGAGAAAAAAAATGGAGAACCAAAGAATCAACAGGGAGAGATGGTGGACAATCAAACAGTGAACAAGACAAACAAACACTTAAAGAAAAGAAAAAAGAGAAAAAACAATCCCCAGTTCAGGAACAATAGCATTTCAGTCTTAGTAGTTCTGGTGTTACTCCTTTAGTATCCAGTCCTGTTTGTCTGTGTCTCCTAGGCAGGTTTGGAGCTTGTGTCTGGTGGTGCTGGAGCCCTCCTGTGGTGGGTGGTGTCCTGGCAGACCAGAGGCCTGGGAGGCTGGTGGCCTGGTGGGCTTGCAGGGTGGAGGCCCTGAAAGACTGCCTGTTCTTTCAGTGTATCGTGATGTGGAGAAGCTTTCCATAGGCTAGGGTTTCAGGGTGCCAAAATTTCAGCTTTCCCTTGTGCCTTACCTCAGCCAAGCATTTCTCCAGCATCTCAGCAAGGTTCCTGATTCCCAGAGTTCATGCATCTGTGTCTATGTCCCAGTCACCATTTTTGATCCTCCTCCAGCATGCATGTTTTAAACCTGGGACTGGACAGAGGTCAATATGGGAAAGTGACTGGGAAGTAGTGAAGAGGTCAGGGAGAGATGAATCAATTTGGGTTGTAATACACTTATACATGGAAGCAATGCTTGGAATCTCTATGCATAGCTATCCTTATCTGAACTAGCAAAAATGCTTTGTCTTTCTTATTATTGATCATGTCTACTCTTCAACAAAATTGGAGAAAAGGGCAGAACAATTTCTGCCTGCAAGTGAGGAGGTTGAGGGTGAGAAATGGCCCAAACATTGTATGCACATATGAATAAATGAATAAAGAAAAAACAAAAAAAAACATGGGACTGGGATGGAATCCCATGCTGTGTGGTAACAGCATGTTTATCTCTGTAAGATACTGCCAAACTTTTCTTCATTGACAGTAACATGTATATTTCCTCCAACAATGTATGACATTTCCAGATGCTCCCAATCCTTACCTGTACCTGGTGTTTTTGGGTTTTTTTTTTCTTTTTGGTTGTAATTTTAATAGGTATGTAGTAGTGTCTGGTTCATGTGACAGGGTTTTGAGTTCATTTATTTACTATTTTAGTTATTCCTGTGTAACTGATGTCCAGGCTATCTATTCTGTTTTAAAGTATGATGTCCATAACAGCTATTCAGATGTGAAATTCTGCTACTATCCCTGTCCATGATAGCTCAGCAATTAGTGCATAAGAGTAATTCCAAAGTCATATATCTTTTTTGGCAGTTGCCTTTTAATGTTTGGTCAATTGAGTTTCTTATACAATAAAGGAAGCATAATTTTGTTATTAAATGGCCATCATTTAATAACAAAATTAATCATTTGTGCTTGGGAACATATAAGAATCTTTAATCAAGAGCATATCAAATCCCTGAGCTATACTGAATATTAAATACTGGCCATTTTCCATGTCAGGAAAGGACATTTAGCAAACTTCTTCACCAGCATCTTATGTATGTATGCATTTATTTGTTTATTTGAACCAGGATCTCACTATATTGCCCAGGTTTGTCTGAAACTCATGGACTCAAATGATCCTCCTGCCTCAGCCTCCCAGGTAGCTGGGATTATAGCCATCTGTTACCACATATTGTTTATTTTTTAAAATGATAATCATTTTTGAATAAATATCTTATGTTTCTATTATAGATCCTGTGTAAAGCAATCCATGTGCCATTCCCAAGTTTGTAGTGTGTTTTTGATGGTGTCCTTCAGAAAAGTTTTCCAGGTCCATAGCCATGATTATGGTTTTGACTTTACTTTTGACCCAACCCTAAGCTGATCAGTGTCTCTAAGAGTGGGTATGAGACTCAACATTAAAAAAAACATCTTCCTGGGCAGCCATTCTGATGTAAAAGCCTAACACTGACTAATAGAACAAACTTATCATACAGTTATCTGACTGAATTGGCCAATGCTCAATAAATAATTGGTAAATATTAAAATGGAAAATATAGTGAAGTGAATACTATTCTAAAATATGCTTCATCTTTTTCTTTCTGAAAAAGCAGTAGGGGCTGGGGTATGGCTCAAGTGGGAGAGTGCCTGCTTAGCATGTGCTGAGGTCCTGAGTCTTAGCCCCAGTTCTGACAAAAATAAATAAATACAAAACTAAATAAATACATAAATAAAAGCACTGGTTCCAAAGTCTGATAACCCAGACTTAGCAGACTTTGTTTGCTGACTGACTAGTTTTTTATCCATGGGAAAATCAGTTAAATTTTGTTGGGCCACATTTTCCCATTTGAAAATACTGAGTTTAGAATAAATAATTTATAAGGTTTCTATACTTCAGTGCTCTATTATCTCTAGACTGTGTTAGTCTTTGGTTCTGGACCTTTGTTCAGAAAATTAGAGAAGTGTTCACTTCATAAAGAAGAAGCATCTGGACAATACATATTTACATGGTATAATAGCATTTATATGAGTTATTAATGCAGTAGACCCATTTCAAATGAAGAAGCAGATGCCAGTTTGTCCTTGAACTTATGCTCTTTGATAGTCTGATCTATTGCTTAATTAAGTTATGGATGCAAAGGGTCACCTTTACTAAGTTAGTTAAGACACAAAGCTGAGTAATAAAAATTATTTTGTATTTATCTGATAGGCACTTTGTATATATTAGGAAAACACATAAACAGAGACTATCAGAATATTAGCAAACTTTTAGTGCCTTTGCAAGTTGCAAAAGAGGCAATATAATGTACAAACATGGTTGTGAACATGACTTAAGGAAGTCAACTGTTCAGATTCAATTCCTCTTCTGGGGCTGGGACTATGGCTCAAGTGGTAGAGCACCTGCCTACCAAGTGGAAAGCCCTGAGTTCAAACCCCAGCACCAATCAAAAAAGCAAATTCCTCTTCTGCATTCACTCCCTAAATTACTTTGAACAAGTGGGCTCATCAATTTTGTCTCAGTTTTATCATCTGTTAAATTATGATGAAACTAGTGCTTATTTAATATAGTGCTTATTAAAATTTGATATACCCAAAGTACTTAGAACACAGACTGGTAAATTTTAAGGTTTGTATTTGGTATTAATTACTGATGTCATGAAGACAGTCCTGCCTTTTACATAGGGTACTCTTGATCTTGCCTGATCTATAAGGGCTGCACATCTTCGTATTTTCTTGGCTAAAGAATGACCTCCATCCCCAGTAGTCTGAAACTATCCTCCAGAACCACATACACACTTTTTTTTTCATTTATTCATATGTGCATACAATGATTGGGTCATTACTCCCCCTTCCCCTCGCTCCGTCCCTTTCCCCCCACCCCCTCCCTCTCTTCCCCCACTCCCTCGCTTCCAAGCAGAAACTGTTTTGCCCTTATCTCTAATTTTGCTGAAGAGAGAGTATAAACATTAATAAGGAGGACCAGGTGTTTGTCTTAGTTGAGGTTAGGATAGCTATTTGGGAGATTCTTAGTATTGCTTCCATGTACATACACACTTTGGATCTGTGAGCATTCCTGGCTTTCATTGTCTTCCATTTGAAATGGACTGTATCAGTCCTCAGTGTTCATTAGCAATAGATGCCACAAACAACATCTCACACTCGTATAACAGGAGCCAATATTATCAAGCTGCTGGTGTGCTGGGAATGTAGACAAATGCCCTCAGGGTCCCTTAGAACTTATCCATATAAGGCCAAATTTATGAGATCAAACACACACTTGTAAATTAGCTTTTTAAATAGCATAGTATGTTTCATGGACTCCACTTTACTTTGGAGAGAATTTTGACTTGTCTCATAACTTTGGTTTTCTTCTTAGACAAAAAGCAAACAAACAAACAACCAAATCTAGCAGAATATGCCATTTAAAAATCTTGTGTGATGTCCAGTTGATTTACAAACAAAATGTTTAATACATTAAGATTATATAATTATAATATTTTATATGGTTTAAAGGTACAGTTATGGTTTGATAATTAATTTTGTATAGTCACTCATTTGACAAATAACATCTTGTCTGGGAAACTTTTATGTTCTTTGCCATTTAATTGCATCTTTTTTGTTTCATAGAACTCCACAGGCACAGCTTGTTAACATGCTACCAGATACATTCACACATTCATGTGAAACTACCAGTGAGGCACAATGTTCTCAGAATGAAAAGGATGGTGACAGTGAAGGTCAGTTAAGCTTTAATCACATCCTTTTACATCTATTATTTAAAATTACATTCAACAAACATTAAGTAGCATCTGCTTTTGGTATTCTTTAAGGTGTCTTTCTCAACTGGACCATGTAACCTATTTTCAGATCAAAATCATGCAGTCTTCTTCCCATTCTCTAGACTTACTTTGGCTAACTAAAATAGTTTTATTAAAAAATTTAATGCCAAGAAATTGCATATTTCACTTGATTTGGGAAAGTCAGCAGTATTTGTATCGCCATATGTGTGCATGGGAGAAGACCATTCTTTATTGTTGGTAATATTATTTCAAGAAAGGAGGGGAGAAGGGGAGTAAGAGGTGTTGTGGGGAAGGTGCCCAAACAATGTATATACATGTGAGTAAATGTAAAAATGATAAAATGAAAAAAATAAAAATAGTAAAAAATAAAAAATAAAGGAAATGATCAGATAAGATGTCTTCTTTGGAAATATTATTTCTAATCTTATTCCTTAGTTGAGAAGATTGAAGTACAGTATCCAACTCTTTTCCCACCAGTAAAAGAATTAAATATAGAGAGACCTGAACCATGTCTAAAGATAATAGAACTGGATGAAGTAAGTGCTTACAAACTACTCACATTTGTTAACAAACAGAAAACCTGTAACATACAGTTATTTCTACATACTATTGTCAATAAAAGTTCTTTCATAACTCATCTAAGCTTAAGTATACATATTTGAATTTAAGTATGCTGATAAAAATAATTTAGTATAATTTTAATGTAGAGAATAAATTTGTGAGCTAAATTGGTGATTTCATTTTTTGGAGGCAAGCAGTATGGGAAGTGAGAAACCACTCCACTATGATAACTTACAAAGTGTACTTTACACAGGTTAGTTTAAGGTGTGAAAAAATTACTGTATTTCTGACTTTTCAGTCATCTAGTAACTGAGTAAACCACTTGTCCTAGGTATTTCTGTTACTATGGTTGTCTCAGAAAATAACTATAATGCAGAAACTACCTCTTTTAAATACTGCTTTCTTCTTTAGGTTGGTAAGTTAATGGTCTGGGTTTGTTGTTTTAAAGACTAGTGGTGTTTTTATTTTGTTCTCTAGATAAGTTGAACAACACACAAACACTGATGCATACATGTGCTACTTATTAAATTGTTGATGCCTACAATAAGTTTATGACATGCCATTCAGAGAACCAGAAACCCTGTAGTCACTAGTCATCTTGGTTATCCATAGTTATATAATAAAATACAAGTTGTTATTGTTGGTTCCAAATGTGATGGTTTTGATATGGTGACATATCAAAACACCATCAACAGATAACAGTTGAGTTTGCTTAGTTCGCCTAGACAGCATGTGTTACAGGATATAATTAGAGTATTCATCATTTGTGACATCATTTATAGGAGAAAGTACTCTGTCACCCATAATTAGCTAATTAATGTGTAATACATTTATTTAATATACTAATATTATGTAATATATTTAATAAGACTTATGAAGAAGAATTTGAAGAACAAGGAAACACGGTGCCTTACAAAGTTGAATTGGCTGATGCAGAGAGTCAACTAAGGTGAGATCTTTCTAATTCACTCTGGGTACTTATTTTTCCTTTTGCTTGTTCTGTTGATCTTTTTTATTATTATATTATTGTTGTGCTGCGGGTACATTGACATTAACAAAGTGCTCATTATATATCACAATTGAATTCATCCCCTCCATCATTCTCCTTTATCCCTCCATCTCCCCTGTTCCTGGAATAGTTTTAGCAGGTCTCATTTTTCCATTTTCATACATGAGCACATCCACTATATTCACCCTCCTTACCCTTTCTTATATCCTTCCCCCTTCCACTGGTAGCAACTCCCAGACAAGACCTGTTTTACCTTCCTGTTCTCCATTTTGAAAAAGACATCATTTGCTTAAGATTAAAAACCAAACATACAAAAATCATGTAGCTCTTAAAACGAGAAATTCATGAGGTCAAAACTTGTGCGTTTAATGTTAACTTTACTTGTCACGTTTAAAATATGTATATACTATTGATATTTGCTAATATTCATCAATAAAAAATTGGCTTCAGTGGGTAAGTGTACACTTGCTAGTATTTAGATGATTTAGTAGATTCTTTTGAACTTAGGAATTGTTATTTGAAGAGGTTGGCCAAGTCTGATATATTTTATATG